GAAGCCAGTTGTTTTCCTGTACCAGATGTGGACCAGCGAGGTAAATCATGGTAATGTAGGAAAGTGAGCACCCCATCCCTGTCGCCTGGTAGGCACGTGGAACCCCATCACAGTCTGATTTGTGACGCCACTGAATGTGTTACGTGCTCAAGTGGATGTTCCACTGAGATTTATACATAAATTAGGAAAATTATAATTAGTACTAATCCTCACACAGATACAGATATACGAGTGTGTGTACATATAGTTTGTATATACCATATATACAGTATTTATTATTGCAAAAGAAATATATGAATACTGTAAAGAGGAAAATATTTCAAAACACTGTTCAAAGTATATGTTAAAGTTCAGTTTCTTCAGTGGCATGCTGGAGCCATCTCCTGCAGGCTCACAAGAACTTACTGTGTGCATCGCTTTCCAATTCCCACCTTCAGTGATCTCCCACCCCACCCCCAAGAGCTGGTTGTTAAATATTTACCAGCAGCACAACACTGCCTTTTTCTCTTCCTATGTACACACATACAGAGGCACACCCAAATTTCTCTTCCTTCCCTAGAGAGGACCACTTTTACTAGATGTATGGATACAGTTTTTGAATTAATCACTACCAGCTTCTTGAACCAAGTGAAAATCTGCTGATAGCTCTGGTTTCTCAGTGTTAAAAATCAGTTTTGAATTCCCTAAAGCCTTTTTTAAAAAAAATCTTTTCCTGGCACCTGAATCATGCCCAGGTACCTAGCTTGCGCTTGCATTTTTATGGACATAGCTAGTGACCATATATTTTGTCATCCAAACTGGGTCACTTTTGAGAATTAAAAAAGGTGCTAATTACTTTGATACAGTTGTTACAAACTGGAAGATGATGTAGCTTCATGTACAATGAATTTATTAAAGCTAGAAACTGACACTCTGTACTAACAGGAAAAAATCCTGTTTCCCCAAAGACAGGTGCCTGATACTCTAAGCTGATCTCACTTAAGGCTAGAGCTCAGACATTGGCTGATCCCCAAGTTCAACACAGAGGCTGCAAGTCCAATGGAGTTTGAGGTCTGCAAAGGCAACAGTGTGATGCCCAGAACTTAGTTGGAAGCAGCAGCTCATTGCCAGCCCCAGCTCATGTGAGAAGCTGCAGCCATTTGGGCAGAGGTAATTGCAAAGGATGTTGATTCCTTCAGATCACTTCCCTGGGGTTTTAAAACAAGCTTTTAAATGAGTCACACTGATGTTTTCTTGCTTAAATAAGCCAATACCATCTTGGCTTTCAGTTGAGAGGAAGGACAGAGTCCTCTCATTTAGCGCCTGTGACTTTCATTGTCCAGGGAAACTAGATTTATTAAATAACCTCTGTGTGCAGGAGCCTTTGCATGCATTAGCCCATTGAACCCTTGGAGCAAAACTACAAAGTGAATATTACTGTTTATAGGTGAGGAAACTGAGTGAGCTCTGTCAAATTAAGTAACTTCCCCAAATTCACATAGTCAATATATGGGAGAACCATAATTTGAGCCCAGTCTTACTTGTTTGAATCCGAAGTCACATAATCATCAATGCTGCTTCCTTCCCCAATAAGGAGGAGACATATTAAATGTTAACAGATGAGGATTTGAACCTATGTAGGAAGATGATTGGATTTCTAGCCTTCCTTCAACATCCTTCCGGTAACACAGTCCAGACAGCAATCTCTCCTAGATACTCGGGCCTTGCTATGCTCATGGACTTTCTGAAAATTTATTTGAAATAGACCTGGGCAATCTATAAGCATATTCAGACAGCTGGGTTCAGCTCCAGGGGGTAGTAATTGATTCCCAGAATTCTTCTCTGGGT